TATGTCCTGTGTACAAACAGTGGGCTTAAGGTAGCAGCAGTGTCCCTTGATGTGGGATCAGCTGGTCAGTGAGTGGACTCTCCACTGTGACCAACACTAGCAATAGACGGCGTGTGGATACCATCCGTCATGGTATGTGTCTGTCTTCTGTAACAAGGGTACTCGATGACTGAAGTAGGCTCTCTCATTGGTTTATGCTGTTTGGGATTAGATAGTTGTACGGCTTACCGGTTTACTAGCTGATATCTGATTTCTTTTGTGTAAGAAGATTAGGGTCAGTGAGTGATCGATTGAGCAGTGATTGTGTGGGAGACGTATGGCATTTATTTCAATGATTTTTTGGTGGGATATTTTTTTATATCACAACTTGCTTCGACAAGTTATAGGACATTTTGGATGACAATCAATGGCCAGGGAAAGGACGTTTTCTGAAACAGTAAGTGAATGCAGTTATTTTGCAGAGTTAGTTCTATTCTGTCTGTATCTTGGTAGTCGGTAAATAGGCTAACCAGTGGTTGATAGTTTGAGCATAAGCCAACAGGGAAGTGGAAGGAAAACAGTTTGATATGCTGTGTAGCCAGTTGTGTCCCTTAGCTCCCAGGATCCGCTTGTTGCGGCTTGATATCACGATATCTTCTTGATATGGTTTAGTACGTGTACTGCTAAATGAACATAATGTTTCAAGAGTTTCACTTTCTTGGCCCATTTAGAAACCTGAGAATTTCAGATCTTGACTTGATCAGGTCACATCTGAACTGGTCATCATTTAAGAATATGGTTTCTTTTTCTTCTCTTTTGGGAAAACACATCTCCCTTTTCTCCAAATGCTAAGCATGCAAGCACTTTTATCATACAGAGGATCAGTGGAAAATAAGAAGCTTAACTTGCATGGCAGTTATGCCCTATTAGAGACAGTATCCTAGTCAGATCTGTGATAGGGATCATGGTGTCGTGCGGCAGTTCACTGCAGAGGAAGTGTGTGCTTTGTTCTGCTAGATGGGCAGCTATTGTCGTCACATGATCTACATGGAACCAGTCATGTAAGTCTACACCTGGGTGAAGTGTGCATGCAGTTTTGGGACTGACCTGTCGCCATGGGTGATAAGACTGGGTGACAGTGTCGGTATCTGTAGGTCTTGTCCAGACATCTTGGACAAGATATTCTGGGGTTTGGTCTTCTTTTCATTATGGGAAAAATGTGATGTGTTTTTCAGTAATTATAATAAATGTGACTCTACCTTGTAATCTTATGTCAGGTATCTGAAATTGATATCACATTTATTGACAATGGTGAATTATGATTGTTAGAGTCTAGTTCACAATGTTCGCCTCAAGTCTGAAGCATGGGTACAATTTCTATAGTCCAACGATGAGAATATTATCTACTGGTAGACTAACATCTTGTCTTTGATATTAACATTTTTTACAGTAAAAAGAACAGTTCCTAAATTATAGTAATAAAATATGATCAAAAGGAGCCCAGAGATGTTGATTCAGTCTAGAAACTGTGGAAATCTAGACTTGCCACATATTCTAGATTTGCATTGGCTTTCTCGGATGTATTTGTTTCAGGGTCTGTATGACAGACTAATCTACTGGTTACAGTTCCCAAAGAAGATTTCAGGCTGACAAACTCTAAGGCACACAATGGATTTCTATGTTTAACAGTGTTCTTGGTGTCTGCCTGACAGTCCATTGACTGATATTTTTTATCCTTCTGCCCTATTTGTGATGCAAAAGAACTGAATGAAGAACTTCTATATTTTATTTGGGTATCTACCATCTCACAGGGGCTTCATGTCAGTTTTAAGTAAGAGTTATTTGTGTCGAAATTATGTATTTTCAGAGACTGGGTGTTGGTCAAACAAGAAGTTTATCGTATGAAATGCAGCTTTACAAATTTGGAAGGAAATGTTTTTGCCATAAATGTTTTTGTATCACTGGATTTCTGGTATATGTTTTCGAACATCATATGGGGGGCATTGTTTACTCTCACTGTGATAAGTTAGGTTGCATCACAGGGACATTTTAAATACTTAGATAATGGCTTGTGTTTAAGGTAAAGTTGTCTTTATTAAACTAATGATATATTTTACAATTTTTGCGATAATCCAGAAAACAATAGATGTCCTTAAGCGTCTGAAAAGCCATAACTCAAGAATAATTCTGTGTATTTGTCTTCAACGAAGAGGAGTGATTTTGATCGTGGCACGCAACACGCAGGTATCATTTTTCCCAAGTGTTTTGACATGGTCATACACTTGTGACTAGTTGCACTCTTTAATCACTACATTGATGTAGTTAGTGGGAAAAATAGTTTCTCATTGCATGGACTTTGCAGAAATCAAAACACATGAAACATAAGTTATATTTTGGTCGCATCATGCAAAGCAATCATTTAGAGTACATGGCAATGGTGTTTCAGCTAAATGTAATCTGCCTTGATTAGTGTATTAGTTTTACCAAACACTTGGTCTCCAATGACCATGACTGAACGTCAGGTTTCAAATCTGTGGTCATATATGCAGCCATCTTTGAAATGCCCAGCTTAATGTGGTCTGAATTTGTTCATAGATAATGTTTGTGGAAATTGTAAATACATGAAAAAAAGATTCTTCAAAATTATCAAGGATGTTACCATGGTAACTGCATTGAAAAATTGTATCTAGTACCCTGACTATGTTGATTGCAGTTTTAGTAATTTGTCTTTCTTCAAAACTCACATTAATATATATAATAATATCTAATACATTTGTAGAGTGCCTAATATCCACCTCAAAGATGCTCAGCGGCGCTAAGGACAAATTGTGTGCAAAGCTCAGATATTATTACCCTCGTTAACCCAAGCTGCCTCACTCACCGTGAGGCACTAGAAGGTTAACAGTCAATGACCATCTTATACCACCGGGTACCCATTCAATGCTGGGTGAACAGAGGCAATTTTGATCAAACTCACTTGCCAAAGGTTAGACCACATATGCCACAGTTGCTTTGATGTGGAACAAGACTGAAGTCCAAGAAACTCTGTTCTATGTACTGTATTCCCATCCTAGGTGAACCTGTTCAGCCCAGACACACCCACAATGGGATTTCTACAGAAATTATCATAAATATTTACAGTACTGCACTAGAACTGGATTGTCATCACGAAACTCCATATTTATCAAGATCAGAGTTGTAAGCCTAAATAAATCAGGATTAAGATATCTGAAATGATCATTTTTAGGTCAGCCTTCCTTACTGAGGTGTGCCTGATGACTGTTTGCGTCTAAGGATTAAGCAGTTGAGATTAAAACTGGGACTGTTGTAATCCATGGCTTAGTAGTCTACCCAGGCAGATTAATTCTGATTGGGAATTTACCCCTGCCTGGAAATTAGGAGGTCAAGGAGAAAAGATGATCGATTCAACACCTGACTGAGTAGTCACAACTATCAAAATTGGGATTCTTTACATGCCAAATGTATACCTTTATATATTGTTTCTATAAGAAGGTAGTCAGTGGCTACTTGTGGATTATGATTTTAATGCTGTGACTAACAATAGCCTGTGTTAAATCATGAGTTAGGGTTATCAGCGACATTAGCATTAGTACCGATCAGGTTATAGTGAGTGAGTGAGTTTACTTTTATGCCGCACTCAGCAATATTCCAGCTATATGGCGGCGGTCTGTAAATAATCGAGTCTGGACCAGACAATCCAGTGATCAACAGCATGAGCATTGATCTGCGCAATTAGGAACCAATGACGTGTCAACCAAAAAACCCCATTTCCATAGATAATGTAGAGAATAACATAAATGTAACTTAGGGTTATATATTATCTAATCAAGTGAATTAGGTTTGTAAGTACAGAGCCTTGAGTAATTAATATGTAATTCATCATAGTTTGTAGTTTATTCTCCAAATATTTAACCCATCTGTACAGCGGAGGTATTGTGACTGATAACAGTGGTTTATGAGCTTGTGTTATGGCACTAGTGTGGACACAATAAATACTTGTCAGCCACTCCAAGGAAGTTTTTATTGTACTGGATTGTGCTGGTTGTTCTCTTGCTTTATCTAGGATTGTACTGTCGTGTATTATACTTTCCTTACAACATATCACAATATCTCACTCTCGATTGATTTATGAGGAGGTCAAGTGTACGTCCAAGTTTGCAGTTCCTGGTATGACATTGAAATAAGTGTTTGATTGTTGAAGTAGGTATGCTGAGGTACAGAATTGAATGGTACTGTGGAAAAGACTAACTCCTCCAATGTATGTTTATACATTCTGTAATGTATGTTTTCTTTCTCTTATGTTTTTTAAAACTTAAATGTTGATGAATTAGTGATGATTTTATTAAATACTGGCTTTATAATTGACTTCAAAATCAGTTGTAATGAGCTGAAGATGGAACATGTACACGAGATGGTCTTTCGTCTCCTATAAGCAAGACCGATACAGTAGGGTATATGAAGCTCTCGACCCTGATTGATTCAATCACCATGACAAGCTTACTCAATTCCGACCTAAGCAACTCTGCTTAAAGCGTCCATTAAAATCACCCAAGTGTGAGGACTTGTAATAAAGAAACTGCTCATTCTTATCAGTTTTGATTTGTTACATATCCATATTCTATTTACCTATCATACATCATGTCAATATTTGCTTGTAACAATATACATAGTTGTTTGCCCAACCATGACGTGTGGATTGTGTAATTTGAAATGATAGTCTTTTACTTTAGAATCAACGATGGGTCAGAAAATCGGAAAATATTAACAGTTTCCAATCTTGTCTCAAAACCATCCTCTTCAAATGAGCATTCGACTAAGCACACATGAGCAGGACTCTGGATATGTAGTGCTATACAAATGTCTAATTTGATTTGATTTGATTTGATCTACAAATATCCTCCATTTGCAGATACACACCAGTACCTATGACAGTAACATTTGACAGTAAACTGAGACTTCAATCATAAAAGCATAGTTACAACTTCCTATTTTTGTTACAGATGTAAGAATACTCAAGATGTGAAGGTGTCCATGGGTGGAGACTGGCAGCCATGTTTGAGGACTTTTTGGATGAGAGTCCGGATCCTAGCACAGTTCCGGGACACAGGGAAGGAACTGAAGATCCGGAAACCCATCTGTCCATACATTTGTGCAACTCCAGTTGACTTTGAGGATGAACTAAATTTCTTAGCTGAGAAGATCTACCCTCGTATTGTAGAGTTCTCATTAAAAAGAGGTGCCTATTTTAGCCCTGTTGATATTCGCTGGAAGCCTGATGATAACATCATCCAAAACGGGCAGCTTCTGCGCCTCCTCCTTGACTACATCCACAAATGCATGCCATTCCTTATCTGTCTGTTAGGCGAGTGTTACGGCCCGTATCGCCCAGACAGTTCGGCAACACTCCCAAAATGTTTCTCTGGCATCACGGAATCTTCTCCACCTCTGGACAGGAACTACATGGTGGCAGCGTCTGCAGGATACGAGTGGGTTCTGGAGGAGTCTCACCAGAACTGCAGCCTAACGGAACTGGAGATCATCCAGGCGCGTTCCTAGGGGACAGTGAACACTGCAACTTCTACTTCAGGCAGGCGGAACATTTGGACTACAAGTTTGCTGACCTGAGTGAGGATGAGAAGGAAGCTGCGTGTGGTATTTATCGGGAGGAGAGCGAGCATGCTGGACTGAAGATCGCGGACTTGAAGCAGAGGATTGTGAAGAAGGGTTTGCCAGTGCAGTACTTCAAGACCCCGGAGGAGCTGGGCAGCCTGGTGTTCAATGACTGGACAGCTGTGGTGGACATGTTGTATCCTCCTCTTGAAGACTTTGAGAGTTTCATAGGTAAGTAGATGTTGTGGGGAATTTTCAACTGTTTTTAGACTGTTTGGTGGTAATCAAGGATTTTAGGAGATTCGTACTGCTTTACAATGATGCAGTGTATCATCATTGGAGATATAGACTGAGTGAGCGAGCGAGCGAGCGAGTGAGTGAGTGAGTGAGTGAGTGAGTGAGTGAGTGAGTTTAGTTTTACGCCGCACTCAGCAATATTCCAGCTATATGGCAGCGGTCTGTAAATAATCGAGTCTGGACCAGACAATCCAGTGATCAACAACATGAGCATCGATCTGCGCAATTGGGAACTGATGACATGTGTCAACCAAGTCAGCGAGCCTGACCACCCAATCCCGTTAGTCGCCTCTTACGACAAGCATAGTCGCCTTTTGTGGCAAGCATGGGTTGCTGAAGACTTATTCTACCCCGGATCTTCATGGGTCAGATATAGACTGAAACATGTAGGATTGAAACCTCTTGTTGAGAAGTAAACATACTGATTTGAAGTTGTGGAGAATCATCATTGTTTTCTTTCTCTTCTTTCTTTCTTAAATTGTTTTGTAGTGATGTAGGTATTGAAGAGATTCATATGCTGATTTTACTACATCAAATTGACACAGTGATGTAAAATGAATACTCTGCAGAGCGATGTGAAACCTAACCCAAATTCATGAATATACTCAACTACAGCCCCTTGTTTTAAGGAAATAGATCCTATTTATTGTCAATGATATGTCTTATATTGACCTCTATATACTGCAGCAATTATTAACATGAGGTCACATTATGGTATTTTTGTTGAGACCAGATGTTGCAGTATCTTACATAACAGTTAAAACCTTTCTTTTTGTGTATCGCTCCTAATTCTTTCTTTGTTAAACCATAGCCAACTGTTTTTATCTCAACCAGATACAGAGGAGTACACTGAATGGATGTCTCAGGAGTCATTTGCGGAGAATCTTCGACACAAATTCATTGCCTCATCGACAAGTGACACTATCATGCAGCACTTGACCGACTTTGCCCTGTCAGCCCTTGATGAGGTCAATATGGAATCGGAGGTCGAGACCTTCTCCAAGTACAGAGCCTATTCCGCCAGCAGCGCCCTCAGGAAGAGGTGGGTGTCCTGCACACACTGTCATTGTTCTTTCAGCATTCAGTTAGACTAATGCTTATTCTCTGAATATATGTAATTTTCATAGAAAGAAATAATTCCTCTTAAATTGAAAAGGAGCCCCAGTGAGATGGGAAAATCTGAACCAGAGGAAATCTAGAGTTGCTTCATTTTGGGCTTTAGCGTTGCAGAAAGGGCTGGGTGGAAAATAGTGTGGTTCAGGGACTGTGAGACAGACTAAGTGCAAAGTTTGGTACAGAACTTGTATTTCTGTCAAGAATGATTATTATTAATTGTTGAACAGCTTAAGTTTGGAGGCATGGTCAGGAGTATTAGTGACGCTTGCTCTCATTTTTTTCCACATACTCTTGTAAAGTAACAAATGTCTGTTTTGGTCTGAAAGTTTGTTAGGATCAGCTGTTAATGGGTTCACTTCTGAGATAATCCCTAATTAGGATCTTTGTTCTATTTTCTCCTTAAAACCTGTATTTGAGTTCATCAAGAGGTCAATCTTCAGCATGCATTACTCCTATATAGAGCTGACATTGAAGGATATGGCTGAAACCCCCAAACTGTTCCTAAGCTTGGGGCGTGTCGTGGTTCAAGTGTTCAAGTGAGCCACATTGAATTCCACTCATTGGAACAGTGCATGAAGCCCTAATGTCTAATGTCCCCATTGTGATATTGCTGAATGCTGAAAACCGATGGGGCGGTGGGGTTGCCTAGTGGTTAAAGCGTTTGCTCGTCATGCCGAAGGCCCGGGTTCGATTCCCCACATGGGTACAACTTGTGAAGCCCATTTCTGGTGTCCCCCGCCGTGATATTGCTGGAATATTGCTATAAACGGCGTAAAACCATACTCGGTCAGTCAGCAGCTGAAAACCGAGTAAAACCATACTCCCTCACTCACTTAAAGGAGCGATTTACCCAACTGACTAGTTGACTCACATTCAGTTTTTCTGTTTGCCATTTTGTGCTAAAACTAGACCAAACCCTTAGGTTTAGCAGCTAATAATAATATGAATGACAAATGTGTGGGTTAGAGAAAGTCTTTGTAACGAAGAACAGGAAAAGAAACACTAATTTCCTCACAACTGATAAGAAAATAATCAGAAACTCCCCCTCATTTAAACAAAATTAGCTTAGCATGTCCTCGTTGCCCCAAGTTTGTTATGGATGGCATTTCTAATGCCAAATTCTAAAAAGTCATGTTATCAGAGGCAAAAAATGTTGCTTAGAATGGCAGACAACTGTACACACTGCAACCTGGCAATTGTTTATTGTCTGAGGTTGTTGGCCACAGATATAGACCTAGCCAAAGATTACTTATGTGTTCTACCTTGCTGGTGGTACCTGCAGTGGATACATGCTTATTTTAACATGAATCCACGGTCTGTTGTATTCAGTCACCTGCTCAGCAGAACATCACATGCAGGCAGATGTAGGACTAGCAAAATAAACTGTGAATTCTGTGATGTTTCTCTCAGTGTTCATCTCCTCTTCAGCTGTTTCCGTGACTCATTTGTGATACATGGCAACTCAAGGGCGGTGGGTTAGCCTAGTGGATAAAGTGTTTGGTTGTCATGTTGAAGGTCAGGGTTCGATTCCCAACAGCCCATTTCTGGTGTTCCTACCAGCATAATTCTGGAATATTGCTAAAAGCAGCATAAAACCTTACTCATTCACTCAAATTCATCGTCTTGTCTGTCAAACAGGACCGCCTCCATGGTGTAGTGGTTAGAGCGTCCGCCCAGAGAGCGGAAGGTCGTGGGTTCGATCCCCGACCGCGTCATACCAAAAGACGTTAAAATATGGTACTTGTTGGTCCCTGCCTGGCGCTCGGCATTAATGGGTACAACAAGGACTGGTCGGCTCGGAGTCAGTATACTGTGTCTGAGTGGGGTATTCATGCTTTACTGCGGCATGGTATCTCAGTGGGCTAGCACTATAAAACCAGCTTAAGTCTGGGCTAGTACAAGCAGCCGCACATACACATACACACGCATGCACGTCATCATATGAGCGAAATATTCTCAAGCACGACGTAAAACCCAATTTCACCTCACCTCACCTGTCAAACAGACCCTGAAACAAATATATCCAATACAGCCCATGCAAGTCTATAATGGTTTGCAAATCTAGATTACTGCAGTTTCTGCAATTGTGTCAGTGAATGAATGTTCTTCTCTGGAAAATATTTTCATTTCAGAGGCTAGGTGTTCTTGTACCCCGTATCTATCTGTGATGTACAGCCTGTTGATATAACACCTTACTATGTCATTACCCACATTTATCATGTTTAGTGCAAAGCTGCGATAGGGACTATTTGGCTTAAATGTTTAATTTAAACTGAATCTATTTAAAGAAATATATTTAGATGTACCCAAGGCGCGTTTAGATCACTATATTAATTCATAAGAATTGTTAAAACTGCGAAGTGTTACCTGTACATATATTTTTACAGACAAGACCCATTTGTTTCAAACATATTGTAATATTAAGGAAATTGCCTATTTACTTTTGTTTTAACTTTCAGAAAGTTATCCTGAGGAAGTTAATCTCAAATCAATGATAATTTTTTCTCATTATGCCTCCTTACTCATGGTATGTCATAAGAATAACTATCAAGCTGTGAAGCATTATTTTTGGTTTTCCGGTTTCTTATCCATAATTAAATTGGTGTAAAGGTCTGAAGATCATATTTCGAACCAACTTTGTAATTTCTAGTGTTGCTAACTGAAAACAAACATATCTTACACAACTGAAAACAATAAACCTTATCATGATCATGACACAGCAGATTGTGTAATATAGTTTGCTTTTTACCATTTCAATCAATTACACTTATACAAAAACAGTACGCAAGGTGTAAGAAAGGTCACTCTTGCATTTTAAATACATTGGCCTTACAAAGTTTACAATTTTAGAAGTTGGCGCGGCAGTTTAAGAGGGCCACAAGTGTTAATGTAATGTTTCCTCATACCTGTAAAGGCCATCACTATATTTGTAATCATCCTCATGTAATGGTTTTTTGTTTGCTGAAGAAACGTTGTTGTTCCCTAACAGCAACTACATCACAAAGACCCGTGAAGATCCGGGTTAGAATTCAAGTCTTCAGCAACCCATACTTGTTGTTAGAAGCGACTAACGGGATCAAGCTGTCAGGCTTGCTGACTTGGTTGACACTTGTCATCGTATCCGAATTATGTAGATCGATGCTCATGCTGTTGATCACTGGATTGTCTGGTCCAGACTCAATTGTTTACAGACTGCTGCGATAAAGCTGGAATATTGCTGTTAACCAACCAACAAACAAATAAAAACAAATACCATTGCTCGGTAGCCTATATTAAATAAAGTGAGTAAGTGAGTATGGTTTTATGCTGCTTTAGCAATATTCCAGCAGTTTCAAACCAGGGAACACATGCACCAGATATGGGCTTCACACATTGTACCCATGTGGGGAATCAAACCTGGGTCTTTGGCATGACAAACAAACGCAAACCTCTAAGCTACCCGACTGCCACCCAGCTAATAAAAAGCGAAGTCTTTTATAAAAAATCTTAAGTTCCCAAAAGCATTGCAAAACATTAAATATCCTGTGTCTGACTTCCTTTAAGGATAAGATGCCCCTTAAAACTTTTAGAACAACAAACAGTTTTGTTATGGCCCAAGAATTTAACAAATCTAAAAATTTGGATATCATGTAATTTGATTGTAAATGAAGCATACAACTTTATGGATGACAACTTTTTGTTTATTGCGTTTCGATGTAGATTCTTACACTGTTATCAAGCTTGATAATGGTGTCAGGCTTGATAACGGTGTAAGAATCTACATCGAAACGTCGCTCTATGCATTAAATAAGAAGTTGTCATCCATAAAGTTGTATGTTTCATTTTTAACTCACCAACTTCTAGAATGCCGATCAAACAATTGATTTGAGTGTGTAACCTGGTTGGTTGTGTGTCCTTGCATTTCAGATTGTTTTTCATGCTATCAACCTCTAGTTTGAATGATTCAGTTAGCTTTACAGATATAATTGCTTACAGGCTGAGAGGATAGGTTTTGTTAGACCTTGTTGTAAGTGTATTTTGGGGGTGACTTAAAAATGTTGGAATTGTCTGATAATTAAGAATGTTGTATAAGCAACATGTGTTTCCATGACAACAGGAAGGAGGAGACCAGTAAGAGGAAGTCATTAATGATCTTGTCGGGGGAGCGAGGGTCAGGCAAGTCTGCGCTGGTTGCAAAATGGCTGAAGGTGTTTCACGAAGACAACCCTGATATGAAAGTCATCCACCATTTTGTTGGCTGCAGCGCACACAGCACTGACATCACCATCTTCCTCGCACACTGCATCAAGCAACTACGCACACATTTCCTCTCTCAAGGTATGTAGACACTGGACATGCCAAAATAGTCGTAGACATATGATATTGAAAATGAGCATAGACACTTTTGTGGAAAGTGGATGCTGCACATGCAGAAGCATCTGTGATTATCTAGGGTAATTACATCTCCACTCTACCGGCTTAGAATTGGTCTTCAGCAACCAAAGCTTGTCGTAGGTAGTGACTAACGGGATCGGGTGGTCAGGTTCACTGACTTGGTTGACACATGTCATCGTATCTCAGTTGTGTAGATCGATGTTCATGCTGTTGATCACTGGATTGTCTGGTCCACAGACTGCCATCTTATAGCTGGAATATTGCTGAGTGCAACGTTAAACAACAAACAAACAAACTTAACACAAGCATCTCCATTCTATGTGGGTGCCATTTTAGATAGCAACCTTAGTGTCATGATTGTCGTAAGTCCATGTTATGGTATGAAAGTTTCATGGTATTCACCCATTCATTACATAGAAAGGAATGTCGGAGTATTTCTAATTCCTAAAATATAATGGAGCTGTAGTTGATTATATTTAAGGAGTTTATAATTACAATAACAATACATGTCTCTACTCTACACTTTGACAAAGCAATCGAGGAGCTGTATAATGTAAATTGTAAATATTGGCATGCAAGAGAGCACATGCAACAGTGAGAGAGAACACAATCAGTTGTTTATTTCTGAAAAATAATGGGACACTCAACAAGCCTATTTTTCATCCCAGTTCATATGGCACAATGCTAATAATAGGGGTGCTGTCAGACTGCTCTCATGAGTGATAAGTCTGTTGGAAGTTTGAAACTTGCAAAAATGACTGTTTGCTGATCAATAGAAGTGCTGTTATGATTGTTTGTTTGTTGTTTAATTCCACACTCAGCAATATTCCAGCTAAGTCATCTGTCTGTAAATAATCTGGACCAGACAATCCAGTGATCAACATCATGAGCATCGATCTACACAACTGAGATACGATGACATGTGTCAACCAAGTCAGAGTGTCTGACAACCCGATCCCTCTTATGACAAGCATGGGTTGCTGAAGACCGATTCTAACCTGGATGTTGTAAACCTTGATTGACAGACACGTGGGATGACTCCAGCAGTCCCTCTCAGCCCATAGATAGCGAAGACCAGCCAACCAGCTTCCCGGAGACATGTGAAGCATTCCTGGCCTCTGCCTCCCTCGGTCCGTGTGTCCTGGTGCTTGATGGGATAGATGAGCTGGGAACATCCCTCGGTCTCACCCCACAGGAGGTAATGTAGTGCTGAGTGGCAAGGGGTGGGTAGTGAATATGGTACAGCCTTACCCACAGCTGGTAGTGTAGGGTGTGGTAAGGGTTGGGTAATGCAGGTGTTACAGTGTAAACCACAGAAGGTAGTGTTGGGTTTGTCAAGGTATGGTTTATGTTGGTGTGACTGCCTCATCCACAGGAGGTAGTGTAGAGTCTGGCAAGGGGTGGGTTGTGAAGGTGTGGCAGCCTCACCCACAGGAGGTAGTGTAGAGTCTGGCAAGGGGTGGGTCGTGAAGGTGTGGCAGCCTCACCCACAGGAGGTAGTGTAGAGTCTAGCAAGGGGTGGGTTGTGAAGGTGTGGCAGCCTCAGCCACAGGAGGTATAGTCTGGCAAGGGGTGGGTCGTGAAGGTGTGACTGCCTCACCCACAAGAGGTAGTGTAGAGTCTGGCAAGGGGTGGGTCGTGAAGGTGTGACAGCCTCACCCACAGGAGGTAGAGAGTCTGGCAAGGGGTGGGTCGTGAAGGTGTGGCAGCCTCACCCACAGGAGGTAGTGTAGAGTCTGGCAAGGTGGGTGGTGAGAGGTGTGGCAGCCTCACCCACAGGAGGTAGTGTAGAGTCTGGCAAGGGGTGGATCGTGAAGGTGTGACTGCTTCACCCACAGGAGGTAGTGTAGAGTCTGGCAAGGGGTGGGTCTTGAAGGTGTGGCAGCCTCACCCACAGGAGGTAGTGTGTAGAGTCTGGCAAGGGGTGGGTCGTGAAGGTGTGGCAGCCTCACCCACAGGAGGTAGTGTAGAGTCTGGCAAGGGGTGGGTCATGAAGGTGTGACTGCCTCACCCACAGGAGGTAGTGTAGAGAGTCTAGCAAGGGGTGGGTCATGAAGGTGTGGCAGCCTCACCCACAGGAGGTAGTGTAGAGTCTGGCAAGGGGTGGGTCGTGAAGGTGTGGCAGCCTCACCCACAGGAGGTAGTGTAGAGTCTGGCAAGGGGTGGGTCGTGAAGGTGTGACTGCCTCACCCACAGGAGGTAGTGTAGAGTCTGGCAAGGGGTGGGTCATGAAGGTGTGACTGCCTCACCCACAGGAGGTAGTGTAGAGTCTGGCAAGGGGTGGATCGTGAAGGTGTGACTGCCTCACCCACAGGAGGTAGTGTAGAGTCTAGCAAGGGTTGGGTCGTGAAGGTGTGGCAGCCTCACCCACAGGAGGTAGTGTAGAGTCTGGCAAGGGGTGGGTCGTGTAGGTGTGGCAGCCTCACCCACAGGAGGTAGTGTAGAGTCTGGCAAGGGGTGGGTCGTGAAGGTGTGACTGCCTCACCCACAGGAGGTAGTGTAGAGTCTGGCAAGGGGTGGGTCGTGAAGGTGTGACTGCCTCACCCACAGGAGAGTGTAGAGTCTGGCAAGGGGTGGGTCGTGAAGGTGTGACTGCCTCACCCACAGGAGGTAGTGTAGAGTCTGGCAAGGGGTGGGTCGTGAAGGTGTGGCAGCCTCACCCACAGGAGGTAGTGTAGAGTCTGGCAAGGGGTGGGTCGTGAAGGTGTGACTGCCTCACCCACAGGAGGTAGTGTAGAGTCTGGCAAGGGGTGGGTCGTGAAGGTGTGGCAGCCTCACCCACAGGAGGTAGTGTAGAGTCTGGCAAGGGGTGGGTTGTGAAGGTGTGGCAGCCTCACCCACAGGAGGTAGTGTAGTGTCTGATAGGGTGGGTAATAAGGGTGTTGGAGTGGGTGATTAAGTTTAGTTTTACGCCTCACTCAGCAATATTCCAGCTATATGGCGGCGGTCAGTAAATAATCCATTCTGGACCAGACAATCCAGTGATCAACAGCATGAGCATCGATCTGCGCAATTGGGAACCGATGACATGTGTCAACCAAGCCAGCGAGCCTGACCACCCAATCCCGTTAGTCGCCTCTTACAACAAGCATGGGTTACTGAAGGTTCATTCTAACCCGGATCTTCACGGGTCTGTTAGAGTCTAAACCACTGAAGGTTTTGAAGGTGGTACAGCCTCACCCACAGGTAGTTGTGTATGGTCAGGGGGAGGAATGGGGAATTATGGCATGCTCATACTCATTACCACCCCCAAGGAAGTTGTGTATTGTCTTGGTGTAAGAAACAATCACAAAAATATTTCACTGGAAATGAAAAAAATGATGATCAATATTGCAACAATGTGCATGCTGCAAAGATCAAGATGCTCTTATGGTTTTCTATGTTACAGGTGAAGGAGTTCCTCTGGTTACCATCAACACTGCCTCAGAAGTGTCGCATCATCCTCACCACCACCAGATCAGATCTGACCTTCCGCAATCTGTCCAAACGGTCAGACGTCCAGCTTATCTCCATCCCGTCCATCACGTCAAACTCCCACAAGATGCACTTCCTCCAGGACAGCATGAAGCAGCACTACTCCCACATCTCCAAGTCCTGCCTGCAGCACATCCTGGACATCAAGATGGCCTGTCGCCCCCTATTTCTCAGTGTACTCGCTGCTGAGATGCAGTGTTTCCATGTGTACATGAAGCTGGAAGAGTTCATTGAGGACAACCTGGAGGTGTGTTCGGTGCGGGAGTTCTGGACCAAGTGTCTGCAGAGGTGGACGAGTCACTACAGCTGGCAACTGGATTCACATTCCACGGAGGAGGATGACAAGAAGGAATTTGGTGTGTAGAAATGTCAGTCAGTCAAAAGGGGTTAATTGTTTAAAAGGGAGCATGGAGGGCCAGGCATCTAAGGTGCATCAATTTCCTCTCCAGAGTTACTTCCCTTGGACTCACCAGAAATCAGTGACCATGGCCTATAGTTCCAGTTTATGCTATGCCCTGGTTATTATGTTTCTTGGTTTGTCAGCCACAGTGGCTTTGGAGAGGGTAACGCAAAATATGTGATCAAGACTACCATCTTGTGGTTGTGAGAAATTAGAAGTACATTGACCAGAATTATTTTTAAAAATGTCTTCCTATTTGCGTTAAAATACCCAGTATAAAGGACCCAAGAGAATATAATAATTTTGTATACCCAAAGAAAATTATTACTATCCAATATGAATAACTCAAAGGAAGAAATAGTTGTCTGGACATAATATCAGTCACTGGTTTGTCTGGTCCAGACCTGATTATGTTTAGGCCACTGTAATCGTGCTGCTATGTGCTCGAGCAATATAAAGGGAATCAAAACATAGGCCATTGAATAGCAAATACATTATCAGATCAATGTTTGCATAATTTGATTGGTCCAAACCTGTTTATATATAGGCTATTGTAATGGTGCTGGAATATAGGGGAATGCGGCTCAAAGCAGCATACGAAGAAACATGGGCCATCAAATGAAAGTGACATGTATCAAATGTATGTCTAAAACCTTGGACTTGAAACAACACAGTAGGTTTATCTCCTGTGATGCTGTTTCAGAATATGTCGGCTGGGTGTGTGACGCACTCTGTCTCCTGGCGCTGTCACGGAATGGCTTGTCACAGATTGAACTCATGCAGCTGCTGCGCAACATTGGCTACGTGGGCAGTCTCGAGGTGTCTCAGTATGATTGGCTGCAGTTCAGGTCGTGCCTTGGGTCATCTGTGTACGACAAGGCAGACGGACTTATTGACTTCTCACATCAACATCTGAAAGAAATCGTGGAATATGTAGTGCTACGTAAGTTCTGGTGGTGTTTTCTTTGACTCTGGGACGGTGGTGGTAGCCTAGTGGTTAAAGCATTTGCTTGTCACACCAAAGACCTGGGTTCGATTCCCGGGTGTCCCCTCCTGTGATATTGCTGGAATATTGCTATAGCAGCGTAAAGCTACACTCACTCACTCCTTGACATGGCTAATCATGTTGATACAGAAACCTGTCTTCTCTTCTAATTTCAATGTTTAGAATGTTGCAGTGTTATTTGAGAAACATTACTACATGCTTGAGATTTGTTATTCCAGAAAATATGAGGTAGGATTAAGTGTCCTTTTTTGCCGAATGTCAAATGTTAAAGTTGGGAAAGATTTTGAAATATTGGTGTGAAACTTATCAGCCAGGTGTAGATGGTTAACATCAAGGCTGTTCGCTTAGTGTAAATTCATTGGGAAATAATATTTCTGCTGATCATAAAGGGGATGCAATGCAAATACAGCCAAGAACCAGTCTATATTTGAATGAGTGAGTGAGTTTAGTTTTAATCTGCTTTTAGCAATATTAAAGCAATATCAAGGTGGGGGACACCAGAAAAGCTATATTTGAAAGCTTTATTGCAGAGATTGTCATGTATATTATGAAATGAGGTGACACTTTGAAGAATATGTAAACAGTACATATATGTGTATGTAAATAGTGTCATCTGATAAATCTATCTTTGCTCTAACTAGGCATTGTGAAATCATCATCGAGTGATGTGTGTCGGAAGTCGGAGCTCGAGACAGATTGGGCGGAAAAGAAGAGGAAACTACACAATCATCTTGCTGAGTACTTCAACGATCAGCCTCACTCACAGAGAAAACTCCAGGAGTTACCATGGCAACTGATGATGGCAGGAGATCATGAAGCGCTCCTGGGATTTGTGACACACATTGAGTAAGAACTTAAGTTACTCATTCTTAGATCAGTCCCCCTTGGGGATGCCGGGGCGGTGGGGTAGCCCAGTGGTTAAAGCGTTCGCTCGTCACGCCGAAGGCCCAGGTTCGATTCCCCACATGGGTACAACTTGTGAAGCCCATTTCTTGTGTCCCCCACCGTGATATTGCTGGAATATTGCTAAAAACGGCGTAAAACCATACTCAGCCAGTCAGCCAGTCTTGTGGATGCCAGGTTGGAATTGGTCCCTGGCACCCCATGCTGGTAGTAAAAGGTGACTGTGTGGATGAGTCTGTGATTTGGTTGATAGAGTCTTGGTACCATGAGAGTGTGGATTGTTGTTGATTATTGGGTTGTTGCTGACAGTATTGATCACTGGATTGTCTGGTCCCTATGCTGATCAGAAGATAGTGTCTTTGTACCCTGATGGTGTGGGCTGTTGTTGACAGTATGGATCACTGGATTGTCTGGTCCCTATGCTGGTCAGAAGATAGTGTCTTTGTACCCTGATGGTGTGGGCTGTTGTTGACAGTATGGATCACAGGATTGTCTGGTCCCTATGCTGGTCAGAAGATAGTGTCTTTGTACCCTGATGGTGTAGGCTGTTGTTGACAGTATGGATCACAGGATTGTCTAGTCCCTATGCTGGTCAGAAGATAGTGTCTTTGTACCCTGATGGTGTGGGCTGTTGCTGACAGTATGATCACAGGATTGTCTGGTCCCTATGCTGGTCAGAAGATAGTGTCTTTGTACCCTGATGGTGTGGGCTGTTGTTGACAGTATGGATCACAGGATTGTCTAGTCCCTATGCTGGTCAGAAGATAGTGTCTTTGTACCCTGATGGTGTGGGCTGTTGTTGACAGTATGGATCACAGGATTGTCTGGTCCCTATGCTGGTCAGAAGATAGTGTCTTTGTACCCTGATGGTGTGGGCTGTTGTTGACAGTATGGATCACAGGATTGTCTAGTCCCTATGCTGGTCAGAAGATAGTGTCTTTGTACCCTGATGGTGTGGGCTGTTGTTGACAGTATGGATCACAGGATTGTCTGGTCCCTATGCTGGTCAGAAGATAGTGTCTTTGTACCCTGATGGTGTGGGCTGTTGTTGACAGTATGGATCACAGGATTGTCTGGTCCCTATGCTGGTCAGAAGATAGTGTCTTTGTACCCTGATGGTGTGGGCTGTTGTTGACAGTATGGATCACAGGATTGTCTAGTCCCTATGCTGGTCAGAAGATAGTGTCTTTGTACCCTGATGGTGTGGGCTGTTGTTGACAGTATGGATCACAGGATTGTCTGGTCCCTATGCTGGTCAGAAGATAGTGTCTTTGTACCCTGATGGTGTGGGCTGTTGTTGACAGTATGGATCACAGGATTGTCTGGTCCCTATGCTGGTCAGAAGATAGTGTCTTTGTACCCTGATGGTGTGGGCTGTTGTTGACAGTATGGATCACAGGATTGTCTAGTCCCTATGCTGGTCAGAAGATAGTGTCTTTGTACCCTGATGGTGTGGGCTGTTGTTGACAGTATGGATCACAGGATTGTCTGTGATTGTGCTTCTCTGATGACCAGGGTTTTTCCTTGTTAGTGCTATTCCTTGTTCTTAAACAACGCTTTCAGTGACCTGTAGTGGTGTTCTGATTAATTGAAATCATCGAAGATTGGTCGCAGTGACCAAACGACCAAGCAATCGATCACATTTTCTCATAATCGAACACAAACGATTTTGGAACTACTGTTTTAGCCTTTGAAAATCTTGACAATGGAACATATCGTTGAAGTTGTCAGGGCCTGCAAACGTGTTTAATTCTTAGAAAACTCACTTCACTAACTGAAAAGCCATGACTGAATATTTCTCTAAGACTCAAGGAAGTTTATGTTCATGATATATTAGTCATCACTTCAAAGTAGCAAGTTGCATCCGATTATACATATCTGCAATAACAACCTGGATTGGAAAATCTGAAAAATCTGGCTAACCAATTTGTTTCGATGATTGTTCGTTGGTAATGAAGCAATCATCAACACTAGTGACCTGAGTGACAAGCTTATTCCTGGCTCTCCCTCAGTTTCAAGCTTGAATATTGCTTTGATGTAAAATATCTCCTTCACTGTTCTATGAAGCCTTTGGTGTTTTTTGCCCTGGTTCTATATACATGTTTGATCTCCAGCTACCTGCTGGATTTGCTGGATGAGAAGGGCAAGTTCCCAGGCAACCGACATGACCTGAAGATGTACTGGGTGTTCCTGTCCCGGGTTGGTCTGGAGGTGGACAACACGTACTGCCAGCTGCTGGTCAGGATCGGGCTTCTGGAGTCAAGTCTCAAGGTCTTGCAGGTGACAATGACATCTGGCCCTGGGGGCAACCAGACTAACACTTAGTCTCATCAAATACATAAGTCTGTACCCATGATGATTTGGGTAGAACTGGTCTTCAGCAACCCATGATTGTCGTAAAAGGCTGCTAACGGGATCGGGTGGTTAGGCTCACTGACTTGGTTGACATATCATCGTATCCCAATTGCTTAGATCGATGCTCATGATGTTGATCACTGTATTGTCATGTTCAGACTTGATTATTTACAGACCGTGGCGTTATAGCAGGAATATTGCTGAGTGCAGCATTAAATAACAAACAAAATTAATTCCTTAAGTCAACTCATTCAAAATACAGTAATATTGTCCATATAAATCTCTTTGAAATCAGGCTTGGGTCTGAAAATGTACGTATATGGGTTGGCTTAAGTTTTGGATGAACCATGTATTATCAAAATTTATATTATTTGCTCTTGTAGCCTGTGATGATGACAGAGGTACCCGATGACTCAGACTCAGAGGATGCAAGGAGTGTGGAGACCCCTGATCTCCGGAGGTCCACCGTCCTTCACACCCCGACGCTCCGATGTCAGCAGTTGTCCGTGATAGAGGAAGGGTACAGCGAGACAGAGGAGAGATTCAGCCAGCAGGTCAGGACCATGTCTTTAAACAAAGTCCGAGAAGTGTTAGTTGGAGATTGATGAACGAGTTTACTTTTACGCTGTTGTTAGCAACATTCCAGCTATATCATGGCGGGGGACACCTGAAATGGGCTTCACACATTGTATTAATGTGGGGAATGGAATCTGAGTCTTTGGCGTGACAAGGAACTGTTTTAACCTCTAGGCTACCCCACTCAGTGCAGCCCCTGGGAGATTGGTCATGCGTGCTCATTATAAATGACTCCAGTAGTCGTAATATAATATTGAACAGAAGCCCTCCAATAGTTTTCAACTAGTGTTCATCCAATAGTTTGATTACCCTGCAATAGATGATAAGTCATAAACGGAATATGATCGTCAGTAGTTGTATGTTGAAAATCATCCTTTTGAAAAAGAGACATTATGATGTACAATTTCTATTTGAGAATGTAATTTTGAATGAACTTGATCACATAGAAACACACTTTCATGACTCGTAAAGAAAAGTAAAAACAACCCTCCAGTCTATGTTCACTTGCAACATTAGTTTAGCATGTACATGTATTTTGAATGGGATTTTGTTCAAGTTGGATATGGTTAATATGGATATTTCGCAGGTGTGGCTCATTCTTGGCCTAACAGGGACTAATCATGATTTTTTGGACTGTATCCTACTCTTATATACTGTAAATCACAAAATGTTTGCGAGCGTGATATTTTTACAAAAATTGCAAATGACTTGAGCTTGCAAAAATATCATGACGCAATTTATTATTCACCAGTTCGTATAATTAACAACAGATATAGACAATACATCAATTAAGCAATGACGACAACATGGGGGAACACTAATTATTACCGTTAATAGTACTCACACATCACATGTCAAACAAGGGATACTCGAACAAAAGTTACTCAAGCAGTATGTCCGATAGTCCATACAGGCGTCAACTTCTCAACACATATTCTGTTACTTTAGAGACCGTTTGATAAGCCGACACTATCCAATGGGAGTGGATAGGCTTCATCACACTTGTCCGGAGATCAACAGCTTTGGTGATGTCATTGTCAAAAATTGGATAAAGTCATTCCAATTAATATAATCCCTTTGATCTGGCCTGTGCAGCGTGTGTACGTTGTTTATAGGAATGCACCACTCACTGCATTCACACGGAAGTACTCAACTGAGCTCAGTTCAAGATAAGCGGCAACCTTTAATATGTGATTGGATTTACATTAGGTAGAACTTTCAGTTGCAATCTATTTTTGAGATTTAGGGAAGTCGCAAAAATATCATGACGCAAAAACGTCTGTTGGTCGGTACTCGCAAAAATATCGTGATTTACAGTATGCTACTCAATCAAGCACACTCTGTAATCTCTCACACCACATAAGGAATCATATGATATCAATTATAAAAAAGTATTGTGTTTATATTTCTACCAAAATGAGATTTGATTTTGCAGGCATGTGTTGGTCATTTTCCATCCAATGACAAATGTTAATTTGTTTTTCAGTCAGAAGTTTTAAAAGAAGAAGAAAACATATGCATATCCGATAAAGGTAAGTGGCAAACCCGAGCCAAGTCATAGTATTGGTAATAAGTGTTCTTTCTATTAAATGAAAACTGATTTAGTTGAAGATTGGTCATGCACTTTCATGATGAAAACCTCCAACACTTTGAACAGATTTGAACAGAAGCCCTCCAATAGTTTGATAGTCCTGCAATAAATAGTTATGTTTATGTCAGTGTAGGACAGCCAAACAACCTTGAACCAGCCACACATGCAAAATAATTGTGATTTCTTTTTGGACCATATACCATACATAGACCAGACTCGATTGTTTAAGCAATGAAGTGTTTGCCCAGTGAGAGAAAGGACAGTGGTTCAATCCAGGGCTGTCTCATACCAAAACATGGTGAGAAGATGCTACCTGTCATTCTCCTGCCCAGTGCTCGGGATGAAAGGAATCATTTGGCTTGTAGTCCTAGATTTTCGAAGCTCTCTTAGCTCTAAGATAGTCATAAGTTAATGTTAATGTATGGCACTTATGACTATTATAGCGCTAAGAGAGCTTTGAAAATCTAGGCCCAGCATTGTATTTCAATGGTCAAGCAGTATAACCAGTATTAGTATCATGGGACCCTCTATTATCGCGGTAGTAAATGTTGTCGCCATCGGGATTATGAACAGCTACTGACATTTAGCATTTTATATATATTTTCAGTTGACTGATGTTTAATCTTCATTTCTGTCACAAATAATGTGACACATAGTTGCAACTCGTTTAATACCATTGCGGCAATTCCGATTGTCTCGTTTAACCCGGAAATTGAAGCAACTCTCTATTATCACGGTATTGCTATTTCCTTACTATGGCACGCGGTACAAGCAGATGACACTGTGAAACGTTTACTAAGACAAGTAACGAATCTAAATACTAGTAGTTTGATCATTAAAAAATATTTAGGAATTTCATTCACATTCGTAATATCGTCATGTTTTTAACCCAAACATCTGAAACTTCTATTCATTTGGATACAAGGTAACAATAACGCTACAAAATTTCCGCCTTAAAACGTACCATACAATTTGCTGCCGTGTGTAGAGTGAAGTTGCATAATACATCACTTCCTGTTATATTTTAGCACGGAAAATATGCAAATGACCTTATAGTTGTTGCAGGATTACTCTTGACGAAGTAAGTTTTGATTCATGCCAGATGTAATGGCAGTAGGGGTCATACTAGTTTCAAAATGTTCTAGAACTTACTGAAAAGATGGTTGCTTTGATATTTCTACGATTAGACATGACATTCCAATGAAATAAATGACTTTTTCAAGAGCGATGAATTTATTTTAGGTAATTTGCATATGTAAACAGCCGATGCGGGGCGTGGTGTTTCTGGTTTCCCGATGTTTCGCGTGCCGTGATAATAGAGAGCCCGCGATAATAGAGAGTCCCAGTATACTACCTAGTATAAGCAAACACACGCACACATGCACGCATGTTGCATCGTGAATAATATTGCAGCATTGAGCCTCATTTTACCATCACTTTCCAATTAGAGTTTGAATCCCCTAATGCCCAGGGTGCTGTTGTATAAAACGATATTAATGCTAAGGTCATAGTAACTCCCATAGCTTAACATAGACTAATGACAGTCTTAGCATTAAGGTCTATTGTACAACGGCACCCAGATCATTTTCTATGGTTTGCCAGCATCAGACCCTGATGCTAATAGCTAGCACGATATCGTTAAGAAAACTGATGGGGTAACTTTAGAATTATTGATGACTTGAACAAAGTGAAATTAAGATTGCGAATCCTCTTAATTTTACCTTGCCAATTGAACATTTAAATCTCAGAATTTTATTCAACCTAGGATAAAAGTTGTTTAACAAACGATCATAGTTTCAAATCGCTATTATTGGTTTGTATTACAAAGGGATATGTACATTACATGAAACACCGAGAACAAGTAGGGTTGGTCTAAGTTAACGCTCATCACGTACCACTCGTGCCTTTGTTTCATTGTTCCATCTACTGTGCTTACCCCCTTGTTCGCAATCTTAATTTCACTTTATTTGATTTACTTTGTTGTTTAAAGTGAAATTCATCGGTATGTTTTCACTGCAAACAGACTATAGTTTCTACCACTGATCACAAGAGAAATGTTATGTTTTCAGGACTGGTTACCTCCCTTGCATGGCACATCGGTCAGTTCTTGCTAGGGCTGGGACACGCTGAGACCACAGAGCAGATCCTCACAGGCCTTCTACAGTACCTCTGCAGGGTCAGTAATAGCCTCTCTTACATCTACATACTATATCTTTTAACAAAACAAACTCATCCTCTTCTTATCTCAAGCCTATTGCCATCCTCTGTTCAGATCTTTGATTGTTAGACCTTAAGATCTCAAGTCTTCCTTTATGGAAATGTTGTCATCTTAACGTTATGCCATATGATAGGCTTGGTCAGTGCAATATTCTGTTGATTCAGCTCTACCTTCACTAATAACCAAACTTTACAATGGTCAAATTTGCTAATTTGTACCAGGTATTTGCTGGGTTTACCTGAAATTGTACATTAAGTTTTAAGGCTTCATTCTTATGCTTGAAGAATGTATGCCTGGTCAAGAACAACCAGTTGATAAAACTTTTGACACAACCTTGTTATACAAAGGAATATTGACTACAGTGTACGAAATAGTTTTCAAATTTTTTCCTAGCCAGTTGGTATAGCTATGCCTTAAAGTTACTAGCCCACAAAATAATTCACTAGCCCGAAATCTGAATGTAGAAACTAAGCGAAAGATTACAAAAATAAATGATAATAAGGTATTGGGCATGACACGAGTTTCATCATTAAGAGACCGTTCACAAAACAAAAAAATCAACAAGTCGGATAAATGAAGGAACACCAAGTTCTATGGATAGTCAACTTCTTTATTGCAATGGGTGCGACGTTTCAGTGTAGGTACTTACACACCATTACCAAGCAAGTGATACATTGAGTTGTAACATAGAGAATATATACATAGCTGCATAGTGTGTATACAATTGACAAGGTTGATATACATTGGATTGCTAATTAATGATTTGAGCAGAGTAGGTTGATGTACAGAGTGATAGTGATTAAAAACAATATGCAGAATGAGTTTATACAATAGATGAGTTGATGTACCCAGAGCTGGTAATGTGAGTTGGAGAGAGTATTGTAATCACAACCAATCAATGTGTACATCAACCTACTCTCCAACTCACATTACCATGTCAGTGTTAGAGTATGGGTGTTGTGAATGTGGAACTAACATCACTTTCGGATCAAGACTATTGACTTTTATAGGCTGCACAAAGAATGCTTTATATCACTGCATCTTAAGCTGTAGTTTGGTTAATCGGACTACATTCCCTACCTCTGCTTGCATCATCTAAGCAGTAATTTAATTAAGGGGTTTTGAAACCTTATTTCTTAGTAATGTTTACAATTGGCTCCAAAACATGCAGGCTTTATGAAGACCATGGTGTTTACACAACTCTGAATAACTGAGGCTGACTTGATGAATGTGAATTTTGTCTTAATCTGTAACTATTATGATGACCTCAGTGAATATAACTTACCGAAAATGTATTGTCAGTATCTATCCAATCCTGAATAAGTTAAGTTTCAGATGTTATTATCTGGAAATTGTGAAATATTCCTACAGAAACTATGTTAATTCATGTTGCAAAGCCATGCTAAGAGACAGAAATTCAGTAACAATTTGTTATACCGGTATATGTTTACTTAAATATCATGTACATGGTAACAGCCTTGTTGCACCTGCAGCTTGATATATGATTATGTGTAATACTTAAGTTTTGGTATTGATGATTTGGAACATCATTATAACAAAATGATTCTGAGGCTGATAAAATCATTGTATTTAAAATGTCATGACATGAATGGTAATAGTCATTCAATCACTGTCAAAAATGACACTGTCACCATCAGTCACTACTCCAAGGCAGTTCCTGATCATCCTGTTTTCCTTTTGAAGTCTGTGTTCCTTGAACAGGAAACTACTATTTTCCACTGGGTGCAAGTTGGTATCAATGTGAGGTTGAATTTTTGCAGTTTCAAGTTGCACCAGTGCAAGGTCGAATTGATTAAGTCAAACCCTGATACTATTTTCTACAGTGTTTCCTCGTGTTTGGGGTTGTTATGAAGAAATACACTATACAGTTCTCTGAATGACCTTCATTTCCCTCCAATGTAGAACTACCCGTTGAGCTGCAGTGAGCTGAAGGTGATGGCGGAGTGTCATGAGATGCTTTCGGAAACATCCACCACTCCCGCGGCGACGTGCGGCACTGCGAGGGTTCTTACCGACGAGCACTCAGGATCGTTATCGACCTCATTGAGAAGAATGATGAGGACATTGACCTAACTCGACTACAGGTGCTAAAAGGTAGGTGTGTTCTTTTATTACAGTGAGTGTATGCTGAATTATGTTGCAGTCAGCAATATTACAGCTATGTCCCAGCAGCCTGTGAATAATTGAGTCTGGACTAGACTAACCAGTGACTAAAGATATAAGCCACCATCTATGCAATTGTTCATGGTTGTGAGTAAATGGGCTGTCATTGACTTGATCCACAGGTCATATCACCTTTGATGATCTGGGTAAGAATTGGTCTTCAGGAACCCATGCTTGTGTTAGATCCGTGAAAGAAGAACAACTTTGTATTGAACAACCGTGGCTATTTATTCGGTACAGGCTAACAACTTCCAAAATATGTGCGCATGCTGCAACGTCTACTAACTGACCCCTCGCAACTACCTAGATACCTAATGGTGCACCGCCTCCGTGGTGTAGTGGTTAGAGCGTCAACCCGGAGAGATGAAGGTCGCGGGTTCGATCTCCAGCCGCGTCATACCAAAAGACGTTAAAATATGGTACTTGTTGGTCCCTGCCTGGCGCTCGGCATTAATGGGTACAACAAGGACTGGTCGGCTCGGAGTCAGTATAATGTGTCTGAGTGGGGTATTCATGCTTCACTGCGGCATGGTATCTCAGTGGGCTAGCACTATAAAACCAGCTTCAGTCTGGGCTAGTACAAGCAGCCGCACATACACATACACACGCATGCACGTCGTCATATGAGTGAAATATTCTCAAGCCCGACTTTAAACCAAATTTCACCTTACCTCACCTAATGGTGCACACAACATAACAATATGTAATAATCATGGTTACATCACAAATAGAACACAATTATCTTACCTCAGCATTCGTTAGTTCCTATGAAGACCCCCATGTTGGATATGAATCTCAAACTACGAGATTTCATGAGACTAGCAACATCATACTTTCCAAACTACAATCTAACACTTGTCATAAGAGGTGATTAATGGGATCAGGTGATCAGGCTTGCTGACTTGGTGACACATGTCATTGTATTTCAATTGTGTGCATCGATGCTCATGATGTTGATCACTGGATTGTCTGGTCCAGACTTGATTATTTACAGACTGCTGACATATCTTGACTATTATTGAGTGTGGTGTTAAGCAGCAAACAAATAAACAAACACAATATTCGCCATCCAGGTACTGTGACAACCAATCAGAACGGACACAGACCCTGAAAATGTTTTCTCCATTATAATCAGCTCTTACACGCAGCAAGCACTGGGGACCTATTAATATCAAGAATGGAACAAGTTGCTCAAATGTTATAGTAGTAAGGCATTTGTATATGTTTACAATGTCCGAATTCATATGGCAGTCTCTGCTTACTGATGATATACTGAACAGCAAAAAAACGCAAGTCTGGCTTTTTGTCACTTTACCATAAACGTTCCATCAACATGAATGCTTACTTTTATGAGATTTCATTTTTTCGAAACTTGCATTTCTGTTGCTGTTCAGTTTATTTCTTGTGTCATTGAGATGGCCATGGCCATGCTGTGCTCTGAAACTTGTAAAGATTCAAGTTACTGTTTGTCTTCAGCAACCCATGCTTGTCGTGAGAGGCGACTAATGGGATCAAGTAGTCAGGCTCGCTGACTTGGTTGACACATGTTGTCATATCCCAACTGATTAGATTGGTGCTCATGATGTTGATCACTGGATTGTCTGGGCCAGACTCGATTATTTACAGACTGCCGCAATATAGCTGGAATATTTCTGAGTGCAGAGTTAAACAACAAACAAACAAAAATCGTTGACCAATTTACCAACCTGACCAACTAATCCACCACTTTTAAGCAGCAAAGCTAAGGACCAATCCCAACCTAAATACTTCATAGGTTCCCAGTTTGATTGTCCTTTAAACTAGCAATAGGATGCAATCTAACCAGGGTTCCTTAAGTATTGACTGTGTATCATTTTTAGTTCTTGGAGGTATGAATAAAACAAATGATGTGTAAACTGTATGAATCTGGATTCTTTCAAACATTTGCATATTCAATAGAAAAGGGTAGCACCAAAACAAAGTTCATGAGATTGTGTCAATAAACGAATAGAGAAGAAGAACAACAACAGTCAGACAGCATTGAACCAGATCAAATATGTCTTGAGAAGGCGGCTCTTTCACATAACATGGTCAGTAACTGTCAAATGCAAACACTGGTTCCCTGAGAACGGGTAGACACAAGTGGATGAATGTGAGCTGGAGATGAAAGCTGAAGACATGAAGTTTTTGTAATCCTGGCAAGCATGAAAAAAAGGAGAGTGAGCCTTTAGATCCTTGAAGTATTTAGGATATGTTTCATCATTCCCTCTCAGCCTAGATCATCAAAGGCTGGTTTTGACGATCTGGAATATTCATGAATGTCACCATGGTCTGTGATTATACAGATACATTGTACGCACAAAGAGAATTCTGTAGACTGTTATTGGGATTCACTGGCAGTCCGTAATAGTTAAAGTAGAGTGTGTTGGTGGTCCTTTTAATCAGAATGCTGGATTTACTGTGAAAACAACAAAAATGTGATTAATTGATATAATAAAAATAATAGTAATATATAATACATTGTAGAGCACCTAATATCCACCTCACCTGTGAAGGTCCGGGTTAGAATGAAGCTTCAGTAACTCAGGTGACTACGGGATCGGGTGGTCAGGCTCGCTGGCTTGGTTGACACATGTCATAGGTTCCCAATTGCGCAGATTGATGCTGTTGATCACTGGATTGTCTGGTCCAGACTCGATTATTTACAGATCACCATCATATAGCTTTAATACTGCTGCCATATAGCTGGAATATTGCTGAGTGCGGCGTGAAACTAATTCACTCACTCACTAATATCCACCTCAAGGCGCGAAGGACAAAGTATGTGCAAGCGCAGACAATGTTATATTACCTTCATGAAGACATGAAGTTTTTGTAGCCTAGGCAAACATAAAAAACATAGAGTGAGCCTTTAGGCCCTTAAAGTATTTAGGATATGTTTAAAGTAAAATGGTTAAAGTAGAGCACATTGGTGGTCCAGCTAATAATAATTGGTGGCGCCTAATATCCATCTCAAGGCACGAAGGATAAATTATGTGAAAACCGCAGACAATATTATATTACCTTGGTTAACCCAAGCTGCCTGTGAGGCACTAGAAGGTTAACAGTCATAAGACCATCTTATCCCACCGGGTACCCATTCACTGCTGGGTGAACAGAGGCAATTTTGAACAAACTCAATTGCTTAAGATGAAACCACGTTTCGCATGTGCTTCATTGTGGGGCAAGGACAGAAGTCCTACAAGATCTCAGGAGACAAGCTGCCAAATACGGTCACCCATCCCAGTGACCAACGTTGCTTAACTTCAACTGATTCTTGATCTGGGCTGTATGCAGACCACACACAACCATACTTGTTGTTGAATGTAGTTATGAAACAATATAATGATACTAACACCACTAGAATCTCTTTATCATGACACAGGTCACTCTATCCCGAGATAATCCAGCCCCCTCCATATGCTGTTTATTACCATTACATAGAAATCCCATAGCTGTGAATATCTGCCAACAGTCAGGAGTGCAAGATTAAGCATATTATCTATAATTCGTAATGATATGCCACTCAGCAAATGGGATTATGTGGTAATACGCAGTTTAGCCTGAAGAGATTAACTTGGCAGCATTCAAGAGAAGCATGTCACCTCTGCCTGTGACTGAAGGACAAATGAGGTTTTGGATCCTTGACAAGTTTGTCACAGAGCTCTGTCTAAATGTATATTCTATGCAGTGTGAAGTTGTTTGGTTCAGGAGGTGGATTGCTGTGGGCTTTCGTACCTTCATGGTGAATTTGTGGTATTAAGTTTGTGGTGAGTAGTCGTTGTAGTCTGTTGATGTTCCTGATGGGATCATTAGTAAAACCCCATATTAATTATGAGATACATTTTCTTTCAGTGATGTAGTTTCTGCAGTATTCAATAATTTCATCTTGTATTTTATAAGAAATCTGTACTTGAGGATAGGCATTTACCACAGCCTATATTTTTGCCTCTGTTCCTGGTAGTTCTTGACATGTTGTATATTGAGTCCTTTTCAATTCGTTCAAAAACAAATATGCATGAAAATCTATGAAAGATTGAACATAAATCCTTTTCAAATATACAAATTAGAAGAAAAGGGGGGCTATAAAATTAGAGACTTTTTAGTTAAAACTTTGTGTTTATCATATAAAAAAACTTTTGCTGATATTCATATGATTTCACTGATACCAGACAAGATGTTGAATAGGAATAAAAATAATCATCAAAAATTCAAAAGTTAATTTGTTAGATAAATGATTTAAATATGTTCTTCCTTATCAATGATAAAAACAATAAAGCACAATTTATTTTTGTTCTAAGATCTGTATTTGTTACACTAAGACAGTTCTAGATTGGAAATTATATATTTTGCCTCTGAAATAATGTGTAAGTAAAAGAGAATCATATAATTTCTAAAAATATCCTACCTCTATCAAATCATGTTTAAATCGTGATAAAAGAGAATAATACACTATAAAAGCAATTATCACTATAGTGTCTGGATGATTTGAATTTAAAATCTTAAACCTGGTTAAATCTTTTAATAGTTAACTCATTTGAACCTACAGTTCTGTATGGGTATAAATAACTACCAACATGTTGCTTTTTTCCGATTCCCTGGTTCAATTCAGTACAGTTAGTGTCCAAAACAAATGCATTAATATACACTTGGATCTTATCAACACAGATCGAATGTTGTTTAGCAAAAAAACAAGTTCTATCAAACCCTAAAGCATTGTTGTGTGTACGTACTAAATGTGTTACATTCAATACAAAACAATCCCTAATGGCCTTCTGTCAAGCGTGTCATTGTTTCCTGAAGTATATGAATATATTCTCCTGAGCGTGAAATACTTGTCCGGTGTCGGCCATTGTGTAATGTCTCCGACTCAAAGACCTCCAACATTGGTGTCAGTTACGCTCTGTGTATGTGGAGCTTGTTCATTACTCACGTTTGTTACAGTCAGATTGTTCCTGTAAACCGATTGATACACATAGACTTGTATAGTATAGTCATCAAGAGTCTGGAGGAAAATGGCAAGAGGTTGAACTGCACATTGTGAGTTACTAAACCTTGCTTCCTGTTCGTGTGGCATTTATAATGTTTCAATACACAAAGAATTCAAACGGGTCAGATGTAAAATATGTTTTACTTGGGATTACACTTTCTTGTCAATGTACAGATTCTAGTACTTTTGGGGGTTTAATCTCATCCAGATTTTGAGCCACCAAATTGGCATACACAACAAAATGAATTAGCTTTTGACTATGGTACTACCGGTTTCAGACATTTTGTGAAGGCTGTGGTGGGTTAGTGGGTTAGATTGCTGATGCTTGTGGTAGCGATTAGGTGTCTCATTCGAAGTCTCATTCAGCCAGCGAGGTTGAAGTCATCACTCGACATGGTAGCCTACATCACATACTTTGTGTACCCGCCTGTTGAGTATTAATTGGCTGAAATGGGCGAAATGCTTTGTTGCATACACAATGCCTGTTAGTTGAATATATGTTCTTACTTTTGACAATTTGTTGAAAGGTAATACTTATAGGTACATTGTTGTTATGGAGTTCTTTTCTTATCTGGCACAGTGGTTGGTGTTGTCATCATGTAGGTGATGGTTTGAATCCAAATATGTACAAAGTTATAAGGACTGAAGCCCATTGTTGTTTCGGCTGAGACATACAGCAAGTGGCTGCATCCCGAGTAACAGTTCATTACACACATCAGTTTGTTGTGTACATCAGTTCGTTATAAGCATGTTCCCTATAAAGGTAGTTTACCTGTATCTTATGTAAGATATGTCACTGTATATGGAGATAGTCAGGGTTGGTCATAAATCCTTCAGGTCAACTTTGTTAGCCTTGACAGAGACAGATTCCATCACATGTGGTGCAATGAAACTGAGAAGACCAAGAGAAGTGCAAAGATATCACAAGCTGATCTGATAAAGATCTGGGTTAGAAATGGTCAGGCTCACTGACTTGGTTGATACATGTCATCATATCCCAATTGCGTAGATCAATGTTCATGATATTGACCACAGGATTGTCTGGTCCAGACACAAATTATTTACAAATCGCCGCCATATATCTGGAATATTGCTGAGTGCTGCAACAAACAGACACACGTCAATGTCCTTTGTGTTCAGGTCGTCTACTGGGGCACCATGGCAGCCTCAGGCTAAGTGAGGGAGAGCTAGGGGAGGCCGAGGACCTGCTGAAGGAATCACTGGAGAGTATCGAGAACTGTCCAGGTCATATCACCCTGAGGGCGACCATCCTCTACCATCTTGGAATTCTAAGGTGAGACATCCTTCAGCTTTTGTGTAATATTGATCATATGAGACGAGTATATGGATGGCAACTTCTTCTTTATTGTATAACAAGACATTTCTGGGCTACTTCTTTCCCCTTCTACTCGTCTTATATATTCGCCAACTTCTAACTGCCTCTCAAAAATCTCATATTGATTAGTTTACCGATTATTTTCACAGGTTATATTCCTCCCTTGTGAAGTATTGATTATTGATTATTTGTTGTAATTTAATTTAATTGTATAAAGTGTAAGCTCTCCTGCTTAACATTGCCTTGTACTGAACTGCCAGGCAATATACAGTATACATTCATGTTTATGGTGGCTGAAAAAGAAACTTACAAATGGTTATTTGATGATGGAGTAATTGTTGGAATGAAGCATTAACCCTAGTAACGTTTCAAAATTTTGTGATTTTTCATTCAAATACATTTTTCAAGTTTGTATTTTTGTTCAAATAGTTGAATAGATGAAATCGTACACAGCATTATCAAAGGAACCTGGCTTGATTTGTTTGTGTTTAATAAGTGAACAATTAAAGATGGGTCAGGATTGTAATTATACATCTTTTTGTTACATGAAACTGGTCTCGACAGTGAGGTTGTGACACTGTACATGATCACAGACTGTAAAGCATTTCTTCTTCTTTTTCGTTGTTTAGGCCAGACCAATTTTATTTCTTGTTGTAAGGATTTTTGTCTTCAGAAAACCTAAAGGCAGGAGGGAAAAAAAATGAAAATAAAATCACCAAAGTAATATTCCTTCTAAATATTAGAAGTATTTACTTTTGGCAAACAATAAAAAAACCATTTACTTGTAAGTTTACATTTTTGCCCCATAAAAACATTAGGATTTTATTTTTTGAGCGGAGGAAAATTAATTTTAATTTTTTTCTTATTCTGGAAAAAATACGACCGGCGGATCCGTAAAACAAGAAATAGAATTGGTCTGGCTTAATGCCGTATTCACCAACATTCCAGCTATATGGCGATGGTCTGTAAGCGACCCATGCTTGTCATAAGAGGCGACTAAGACATTGACATGTCCTTGTATGTCATTTGCGTAGATTGATGCTCGTGGTGTTGGTCACTGGATGGTCTTGTCAAGACTTGATTATCTACAGACTGCCACCATATAACTGGAATATTGTCATGTGTTAAACAAACAAACAAACATTAGATCATTCACACACAATAACAGGGATTGGACATTTATTAGGATGTCCATATTTATTTGTGTTATTCCATCTGCAACCCACTCTAATTTATTTTAATTTATTTAAAGACTGTTATCAAGTGATCTAAATTTCAAAATTTCATAAAGTAAGTTTCCCACAAATGACACCATTAGTGAAAATCACTTTTTGTATTTGTATGGGTTTTTTTATTTCGCCCCAGCTCTTGTTGGGTTTAGGTTTGAGATGAGAAACAACTGAACGAATACAGACAACTTTATGGGGTGAATTGATCATTGGAGGCAATCAGTGGAGGGTTGACAAAACATATCTCTAGGAGAGTTTCATACAAAGCTAGAACACATGTATAGGAAGTGTATTGTGAAATGGACATCTATAGTAAAATATAGGTGCTTTTGCATTTTGTCTATTAGAATGGGTGTGCAAGTTTACAAGGAGTCATCCAAAAATATGACAAACGTTAGAGGAGGTTATAAATGACCAGTCCCTTGAAGAAAGATATGACCTGGTTGAAAAAGATATTGACAGTATCTTATTCTGAAATTGATAAGTAAATTGATATCTCCTGGAGTGTTGTGTATGAGATAAGACAGTCTTACTTACCTCCTGTAGAGATCTTATTGTTTGATATATCAGATGTCAGTTTATCAATAAATTCATTTACATTACACCATACCTACAGGTTACAGTTGGTGAACGTTTGAGATTTAATCAATATCTGTGTATGGACTGTGATATTTCTGGCTTGGTAGGCACAAACAACAGGACTGTCTTCGAGCCGAGTCATGTCTACGTCAGTGTCTCATCCTACGTGAACAGTGGTTTGGAAAACGTCATCCCTTGGTTGCTGATGTGCTGGTAGCGCTTGCCAGACTACTTTCTTCCACTAGTAATAACAAAGGGTATGTCTTGTACAAATGTGAACTCTTCTGCTCTGTGACAGTTGTCTTTTAAGAACATGAACAATACATATTTGCGCTCTGTTTTGTCCTACCTCTGAAAGTTTACTGCTTCTGGCATGACATGCACTCTGGGTACTGAGAAAGCTGACAAACTTTAAACCATACTCAGTTACATTTGTTTTCAGCTGCAGAGGGGCAATAGGGTAGCCTAGTGGTTAAAGCTTTTGTTTATCACACTGAAGACCTGGGTTCTACTCTCCACATGGGTACAATATGTGAAGCCAGTTTGTAGCATTGCAGGAATATTGCATAAAGCAGAATAAAACCATACTCTCTCACATACATTTCATTTCAGAAATTGACACACTTATGGGACAGAACATTTTTCAATATTTCTGGTACTTAAGAATTTAAAATTAACTTGAGGACTGGTCATTTCCTTCCTCTGGGCACATGAGAATTACTTACAGATACACAATTGGGGCATTACATTAAATCTGTTAAACCTGCTGTATGAACTATGGATTATGTGAGCATAGATCATTTATACATTCAGTTAATAAAACCATTATGCTGTTGTTGTCACAATCAATTCTTAGCCAGGAATGAGGCGGTGGGGTAGCCTAGGGGTTAAAGCGTTCGCTTGTCACGTCAAAGACCCCGGTTCAATTCCCCACATGGGTACAATGTGTGAAGCCCATATCTGATTTCCCTGCTGTGATATTGCTGGAATATTGCTAAAAGCGGTGTATTTTAAACCATACTTACTCACTCACTTAGCCGGGAATGCATTTTAACACGTAAAATTGATGCCTAATACAGAGCATAACCGAGAAATCATTTATCACGCATAACATTATTTAAGAATGGAGAAATCACACAGGGGCTCATTGATATCTACTTCTGGAATCAACGGATTCAAGAGAATTCTTCATTACATTCACACTTGAGTAACTGAATATTTTAAAGCTCTTCAGTGTCTTCAAAAGTTTAGGGAGTTAGAACCTTGAATAAATTGCATTTACGTTTTGTCTCAAATACATTTTTAAGATGATCATTGTTTTTCTGTAACACCTGTGTTTACCTGTACAGGTGTGACAAGGCACAAGCAGAACACCTGTACAGTCGGGCCATAGAGGTGCGAGAACAGTGCCTCACCTCAAACCACCTCCTCACGTCAGAGATACTCTATGAACTGGGTTTGTTTCTTTGTTTGTTTGTTTGTTTTAAGGCTGCTTTCAAGCAGTATCCCAGATATCCCAGGCTGAAGTCTGTAATTTATTGAGTTTGGACCTGAAAATAAACAGCTGTGATATGATGAGTCCACACGATTTATTAAGTTCCCTCTAACAACAAGCATATGTTGCAGGGGATATATTTAATCAAAAAATGGACTGGGTTTTAAAACCTTGTCAAGTATTGTGTTCATATCATGAAATACACAATGCCATTTTAGAAAGTGGTCAAATGTAACATATGTTATATTTGGGATTACACTTTCTCAGTACTAGAATCTGTACTTTACTGAGAAACTGTAATCCCAAATATAACATATGTTACATTTGACCACTTTCTAAATTGGCATTGTGTATTTCATAACTTCGGCCGTGGGAGCCGTGCAAATTTACACTTATCAGAGGGGTACACAAAGTCCGCAGTCTAGACTACCAGTTGTCCGACTTCCATGTTTGTGAAAGCCGCGGTGGCTGAGCGGTCTAGGCGTCTGACTTTACGTGCTGGCGATTAGGTGCCTGACTCTGAGGGTGTGGGTTCGAATCCCAGATGGGACTCAACCCCAAAAAGTACTAGAATCTGTACTTTACTGAAAAAGTGTAATCCCAAATATAACATATGTGTTCATATCAGTTGACTAACAATTTGTTGTGATTGGATGCATGAATTTATATGGTATTACCATATTTGGAACCTATTATAAGACTTCGTTTTCATTTAGTTAAGCTTGTGGATAATTCACCATGATATATAAGCAATAAAAACTGCAGACATGAGGAAATATACATGATAAACTTTATACTTGATAGAGAAATCTTGAATGTTGTCTTCAAAACGACACTGTATCAGCATTGGAACAGATGCCTTAAATGCTGAAAACAAGCCTGTTTCTTTAAAGAATTGGTCAGAAACATAGATTTAATGGATAATTCATCACATTTCTATGGAAATAGTTCACACAATGATCTGGATTGAAGTCGGTTTCTTGTTTCAGTAAAAGATGTCTTACTGGAAATATATTTTCAGTGGATCATGGCAGCTGGGATGATGAAAACCGAGCAGACAATATATACTAGTAGTATTTTTTTTAAATGTTTTATGATGTATTTTGTCCAATTTACCACACTGCAAACTTTTTTTGAAAATATGTGCCAGACAAGTTAGACAATACAAATGTTAAGGATGGTTTTGTCATTAAGTCATTAAACAGCAGTATAAAAAAACCTGTGACTTTGTCCTGAAAAGTCTTTCTCCAGTGTGTTCATGATGTTAAAATGTATGGAGCATGCTTGTCTTTATTCAGGTTGTTTGATTGGAGAGCAGCCAAGTTATTCAGCCAAAATGGAGTCCATAACATTACTGAGGAAAGCTCTGGACATTCGCACAACAAGATTAGGTAAGCTGTTTTGTGAGCGGGATTATATGGAGTGATCCTTTAGACTTTTAGACAGGTGGCCCAGTGATATAAGCATCCAAATTCCTTGTTCAGATCTGTGACCTTGGCTCAGCAGCAGCCTGTTTGAGGTGAGGTGAGGTGAAATTGGGTTTTACATGGTACTTGAGAATATTTCGCTCATATGACAACGTGCATGTGTGTGTATGTGTATGTGCGGCTGCTTGTACTAGCCCAGACTGAAGCTGGGTTTATAGTGCTAGCCCACTGAGATACCATGCCGCAGTGAAGCATGAATACCCCACTCAGACACATTATACTGACTCCGAGCCGACAGTCCTTGTTGTACCCATTAATGCCGAGCGCCAGGCAGGGACCAACAAGTACCATATTTTAACGTCTTTTGGTATGGCGCGGTCGGGGATCGAACCAGCCGACCTTCCGGCTCTAACCGACCATGGGGCGGTTGCAACCTGTTTGAAGGCCAATTTGCCCTATATGAGGCATTGAAATCAAATGGATGCTCCTGAAGAGAGATCATCCTGTAGACCTTGGGCTGTAACAGTCATCTGATTGGTATAGCATTTACAAATGGTGCTGTACGAATTCCAAGTATATTCCTATTTATTGGTAAGTGTAGGACTGTGCATTGGCAAATAAATTGTATTACAGTATATTTTGATACTGATATGAGATAATATAATAATAATATATCTAATAATGTGGCCAGTTATATAATACTGAACTCAACGTCACAGGGACATGCTCTAAGCACATACATCATAATGGACAGTATTACCCTGGGTAACCCAAGCTGTTTGTGAGGTGCTAAAAGGTTAATAGTTACATGACTTATCCCACCAGGTACCCATTTTCTGCTGGGTGAGCAGAGGCAATTTTGAACAAACTCAGGTAAAATGTTACAATAAGTACTGTTTGAAAGAGTACAGTGATAATACTATGCAGTCCTAGTTAAGTGAGTTATATTTATTCTGTTTGGGTTTCAGTGTTTTGATAATTTGTTCCTAATTACAGGAGGAGACCACCCAGACACAAAGGCCGCCCAGCAGTACCTCACAAACCAGGAGGTGATGCTTCGACTGGGGCACTATGAGTTTGGGCCTGCCAAACCAACTGACACTCGGACACCATCCAACCCCTACAGCAGTCTTTCCTTCCGAGATAAAGATCTTTCAGCTATGAAGAAGAAGTTCCGTCCATCCACTACCATTAACAGACTTAGAAATGGTGATCGTGACTGTGTGAGATCTGTCAGCAGAGAAGACCTCCTGAAGCACAATCGTCCTCTCAGCATAATGGGCAGCTCTGCTAGTGTAATGAGTGCTTCAGAGAGACTTCTGACAGACTCAGACCGACCAAAGCTGTTGAGAAGGGGCTCAATGGAGAGACGCTTTCAGCAGGCCCTAGATATGGGTAAAACTGTGCCTCTGTCCGAGACGAACGCTTCCAGTTTGACATCAGATTCTTCAATCAGGAGGCTGACTGTGGACCTCAGTTTTGCAGGGGGAGGGGACGGTGATGGGGATGATACCAAAAAACCATCAGTCACGGTCTCAGAGCCGCAGATTGACAACTATGCTAGTGAAATGGCTGCCAAGCCTCAGAAATCGCCAAAGAAGGTTCCAGTGAAAACTAAAGTGGACTCCCGACCAGTCAGTGCTCCTCTGAAGCTTTTTGCTTTGTATGGCAATGCTGGAAATGTTAGGCTCAGCATGCCCAATAGGACTCACAGTGCCAACTTTAATCGAGGAGATGGATTAGGGATCTACACTACAGGCACTTCGTCTTCCTGCCTCACCAACAGCAGCCTCCAGAGTCATCGGTCTCGCTGCAGCATCCCGGGACCGCACGCCATCAACGTGTCCAACTGCCGCTCCATCTCGGGCCCACACAGCTCCATCTACAGTCTACTGGACAAGCCCGGCATACCCCGGGATATGAAGCGAGCAGTTCATCACAAAGCAGCCTGGTATCACGTCAAAGGCAGGTATCCTACAAACGAAGAACCAGTTCCATCGAAGCGATCCCAGAGTCGACCAAACTCAGTTTCCAGTTCGTCAAGCAGAGTAAATACGAATATAAATGGTGTGAAACAAAAGGAATCTGTATCTCGTAAGCATGCTGTAGGGAAGATCATCATGGCACAGCGGTCTGAGCCTGTGCTTGTTAATCCACACCCATCACAAGATTCCCGACAAAGGGAGACAATCCGTGAGGGTATGGCATTGAATTATGCTGTCGTCTCCTTTAAACCAGAATCTGTGGTTGTTACCTAATATCTGCCCTGTCTCTTGTTTTAGGTTTTGTGTACATAGATGTAAATTTATGAATGAAGAGATGATGTATGATATTAGTCAATGCAGGGTATTCGCTTATGTAACCATTCTTCTCTGTATCTCAGTACAGGTATGTAAAAATAATTATTAAATATTTCCCTTTGCTTCATAGGAGAAAGATCTGTTTTTCACAGTTTTAATTAACAAAGTAATCATTGATCCACTTAAAATTAATCGCTTATTTTTCTCTTCAAATGTTAGAAACCAGTGTTGTATTTTTGATCAAGTCTGACATGAAATATGTAACATATTTTGCTATACTTTTAATCTCTTGCTCTAGTATCAGGAAACAATGGTTAATCTTATTCCTGAAACAGGAACAAATTATACAGCTGGTAAGAACGGTTGGGTAAACTAATGATACAGATTCCTATAATATGGGACACTTTGAGTTTGGCAATGGTGACTGCCTTACATGTTTCTGTTCAAAATACCAATGAATATGTAAATTATGCAAATTATAGAATATGATTCTATATAAATATATATATTTATTTATTCCCATATTAAGATGTGTTTCACATACAAACCAGGCCAAATATAAATATTAGTTTTCAGGTTATATTTATCTGTAGCTTGGAGATCAGGATGTTTCTGTTTCAGGAGGAACTGTGTCTCATTTATGATTTTATATCAAAATATATATGCTCATCTGAATTGTATTTACTTTTGTTATATTTGTAGTTGGAAAGAGTTATCTACCTTGTGCTTCCATGATGAATGATCTGATAAAAACTGATTTACACACAAAATTACATGTTTCTCAGAGATTGAGTTGTAGTGAGCAAAACTTGATGAAACTTATGTGGTTATATACTTGTTATGCCGTTATATTCCTCTTCCATGTTTCTGCATTCTTATGTCCCCTGCTGTGATATTGCTGGAATGTTGCTAAAAGCAGCATAAACACCCACTCACTCACACATTACTGTTTTCTGTTATTATACACAATAAAATATGCTCTGGGATGAAATATTTTGGTCACATTAAAGTGCACATTTCAACATTGTGAAGTGATTGATCTAGAATTTGGTCAAGTGGAATTTTTGGAGCAGGATATTTATTACATACTTATTATGGTAAATACGTTAATGATGATGATAAGCAAGTTTGACCACTATATGGGTTCCTAACCCATCTTGATAATAATCAGCCTAATGATTGTTTCTCCCAATGGTCAGCGACAATGGAAAGTGGGCTAAGTTGTTATTCACAACAGAGGGCTGCATAATTAAGTTGGGTAATGTTTAAGTTGTTTTGACGCAAAAAATATATTATGTGTCTCATGTATCAAGTTTGTGTACTTATGAAACTAATAATATTTGTTAATTTAACTTATTTTTGATTTATATGAGATATTGTGATATTTGTTCCAAAATAACATTTACAAGAAGGCCAGTATGATGCGTAACTTATGGGAGAAAAAATATTTCTTCCAGTTCAGTAAATATAGAACTATTATATTTTTCTTTAAGATTATTACTTTAATAATGTCATGTGAAAACTCTCAAATTGTGATGCCAGGTCGCCTGTCTCAGAACACAGTGCTTGATAATATCAAGAAAACATGAAAGAATCTCTCGTAGCGATGTTCTTATACAGACAATCAGTATTGTGTCAGATACTTTTAATGATAAAAGTCTGTATGATATGACAGTAATATATATTTTTTCAAATGTTACTGATGATAATAATTTTTTAATGTTTTTCATGTTTGTGTCATTTGTGTCAACACTACTGAATATGATTCTTACCGGTTAAACAGGTGACACCTGTTTTTAAATTTCATGTTTAATTCCATAAATTATTTCTATAGACTTCTCGCTGATACATGGATTTGTGATGATTTTACAAGTAGAATTTGCTTATATATAAATAGAGGTGTGACGATACAGAAATTTCACGATACGATGCGCATTGCAATATCTTGAAATGATACAATTCAATTTGATGTATATCACGATATGCTATCTTTATTTTCTTTTAACAATTGGAATTTACTACTAGAATAGATAGTGCCTTAGAGTAAATGTCCTGACAACCCTTTCACAATATATCTTGATGACTAAAGAGATTAATTTGATTAGCAAGTATGAAATTTCAATTTTTACTTATTTTCTGAAAATACAAACTTCAGCATGGTGATGTCAGTATCAAATAAGTGAACAGCCCCAACTCTGCACAGCATGGGGTCAGGGAGTGGGGAGGGGGGCATTTTCACAGCCTCCCTGAAATATGAAAACCTGAATGAAACTTTTAGCCAACTCATAGGCTTGTTTCTATGGAAACGCACCTCCGCTGGTCACCAGACTGATACAGGAGGAAATTCAAGTCTTGATTTTGAAAAGAGAAATATATTTTCAAAATGTATGTTTTGTAGGCTGTCTGCACACATACATTTTACAGTGAGCCTTCATAACATACTTCTTTACACTATGGCTTAATTTCATCATGAACCGGTGAGTCAGTTTTGTGATATTTCATGGACTGTACTTGAATACTGCATCACTTTACACCGAAAGACAGCTTTGACAAGCCAAGGAGGCCACACCCCATCTGTGTATAGGTTTGGACCCTGGAGTTTAAGGTCAACGATGCATATCATGATACGAAAAAAGTATCGCTATATTTATCAGTGTCACAATTATTGATACTACCATATATCGTCACAGCTCTATATATAAACTAAACAAATCCTCAGACCCAGGTGCAGGAGAAGTTTATATTTATTTAAATACAATATGTCTCAACGCTGCTGATAATACATTAAATTCATCCTTGTTGTCCAGCATGTAATCTGGTTAGTTTTCTGTGATAAAAATATTGGATTCATTCCGTACTTTTGTTCAGTACTATGATATACATAGAACTGCTCTTGGTCATTAGTGTAATTTGATTGGATGGCTTTTTTTAGCTTTACTTTATTTATGACCCAAAGAATATAGTTTAGTAAGAAATTATGAAGAATGTCTCTACAGACAATAGTTATGTTTTATAGATTGTATGGAGTATCATGGCAGGTTTGAATTCAAGATTTAAAAAAGTATTATTTTAGTTCAATTGTTTCGTTTTGTGGTTATTGATTAGACATTTGTGAGAATTACTTCAGAATTTTTTTTTTTTTATGAAGTCATTATGTTGTAGAGGAAAATGAAATTTCCACTTTCAGAAATGGAGATTGTTGTAAATGTATAATCTTAACATGATGTGTGCTTGAAAGAACATTCCAAGCACATTCATTGCAAATAAAACCACCTTTTACATCATTTTGACTTTGGGTGCATTTTTAATTTATTGACCTGACTGAAAATTAAGTAGGCTAATGGTGCCATGCTTTGTCACATTGTCTGTGTGTTTGCAGTTTTTGCATCATATCTTCGTATGATCCTGTGAAGATCTGAGTAAGATTTGATTTCAGCAACCCTTGCTTGTGGTAAGAGGCGACTAACGGTATTGGGTGATCAGGCTCGCTGACTTGGTTGACGCATGTCATTGGTTCCCAATTGCGTACACGGATGCTCATGCTGTTGATCACTGGATTGTCTGACTCAGACTTGATTATTTACAGACCGCCGTCATATACCGGTAGCTGGAATATTGCCAAGTGTGGCATTAGACCGCAAACAAACAAACCAAACCTTTTGGAGGGCCATGATAGGAATGGTAAACTTTATTTGACTCAGTGTTTTTTTTATATTGACAAATGTTATATTTGGGATTACACTGTCTCAGTAAAGAAGAGATTCCAGCACGTTTTTGATCTGGGATTAGAACATGCACTCAGAGTAGGGCACCTAACTGCCAGCACAGATATTCTGCAATTGAACAGATTAGACCAATGAGGACAAAAAGGAAGCCTGACAACTATGGCCTATGTCGATTATTGCACTGTCCTTCAAAGTGACGACAATAGTGACTAGAATGAGAACTACGAGTGGAATGGAGGACCAAGAGGAAGTGGATGTAAATGTTTTTGTGTTCAGTGACGTGTGTGATTATATGTTCATTATTTTTATTTTCAAATATCCCATTTGCCCCTTTTTGGCCTCTTTTGGTAACAGTTTTGGGCTTTCATTTGGACACATCCATACGATCAAGTACCTTTTGGCATACCCTTTTGCAGAAATTTCCAAGTTTATTTCTCTTCTAATGAGAGGACCATTCTTCCCTTTTAGCCCGATTCCTATACTTTCTTTAAGCACATGGTTGACACATGTTGAGGCAAGGAAATCGCCATGATTCCAAAGTGAGTGAGTGAGTGAGTGTAGTTGGCTCAAGAAAAGTTGGCAATAGAATGGTTTTCACACGTTTTATTTGAACACGTATCATCTGGTACATAAAGCGAGTACAGAAGGAGCACGTTACTTTCATGTCACGAATGGAAATTAGTACTGTGTGTAGCGGTATACTGGACGGAACACCAACATGATTCAAACATGCAATATTTATAGTGATGATGATGACAATGATGGCTACTACTGTTACTTTTACTGCTGTTCCTACTACAAACTACCACCACTACTACCATTACTACTACTGCTACTACCACCACTACTACTGCTACCACTACCACCTGTCAGAACAGGTCGGTCATTACAAGCAACTGCAGGTTATCACGCTCTTTGCCTTACGATTAGACGCCTTGCCTTGGCATTCAGATGAGCGGGAATATTATGTAGCAGGGTTTAAGTTTTGATTGAATCATGCACAAAATTAGCAAACTGATCACGCAAGCAGGTTAATGAGCTTAAAGTGTATTTGAAGGAATGGATAACCAGTCTCTCTTATCCAGCTTGGTCTGGGCAGAAGCACAAAGGGAGACCACTCTTGTCAGACTATTAGCGAGCGTTTATCAGCCAGATTTTACCCAGCCGAATTGCGTAGCTTATCTTCCCGCAGCAATTAGTGCAGCTACCGACAACCTATATATGTACACCACGAGCTACACACCAGCAGACAGTGCCCATATCAGATGAATGGACTTTGCCAGCAACTACTTACGTTCACCAGTTTGCCAGTTAAAACTCGGGGTCGAAACAAAGACAACATGCACTTCTTTTTATCACCGACGGAAACCATGGCAACGGCTGGCAAAGCAGGATGTGCTTCCTTATTTGTAGTCGTTTTCATGTTTGTTTACAGTTCTATGGAAACAAATGGTCCCTGTCGAGAAATCCTAACCTCTATACATTTTAAGTTGGTGCAAATGACCTTAACGTATATGTGTCCATTATAACCGGCACTGCATGTGTAGCCTATAGACTGCAACTTCTCTTTCTGAGATAAGCTTCTGTGAAATAACAGAAAAGGGAATCGGAAGACTTGGATATTTCTGACTGAAAACGAACCCTCAACTTTTCACACTGGTATTGATCTTTACAGGGCTTTAGAGAATTGACTGCGTGTTTTCAAGAACTAACAGACACGACGTGGTAGTGAACTACAGTATATCCGACGTTGGGACATATAGGCATTGATTTAAAACTCATAAATCGTCAGGTATTTGATACCATGAGAAGCAGCTATAGCTGGCTGTTTGACGTTGCCGGAAACATTCGATGACGCCTCGTTCTGACTTCGTCTCTATGTAGTTACCGTTGTCGTTGCCAACGGTCCCCTCTGTTTTAACAGAATCGCCATTGCTCTTACTACCTATCGCTCTGCATTTCGTTGACTACAGCATCGTTCCGAGTTCTGCTACTGACAAGATGTTTACAAGGCTGCATATTCAAGGTATTTAAGCAGACATTCATTGTATTTTAAAGTGTTTAAAGTGTAGATTACCATTGAAATTGGCCGTAGTTTGTCAGCAGTAACGGTGGGGATGACTGGCCGCCATTTGCAATTTTGTGAAAATTCCCCAATGTGTATGTGTTTAATGTCTTTTCTGCCCGCGATATGAGAGCTCTCGGTATTTATATACGACGGAGGGTATTGTAACAATCCTGTAGACATGTTTTACTATTTATAAGACATAGTTCGGGATTTTTTTTCTGTCCACTTTTCATTCAAATAGTTGGCCCATAATGGCTTTAGTAATAGATGGATTGTATACCAAAGCAGCGATTAAATGCCCATTATTAACCTTCTTGTGGCCTATACTTGTCCCGAAAGAGATTCCATTGGCTCCATGGTCTATATTATCGGCAATCCGCTTGTCCACTATCGTTTCGACGGCCCCTAAATCAATTTGGTTGTAGTCGCCGTAGTCTTCATGTATTTAATGTGTATTTAAATGTGTTGTTTTGGTTATTTTCAGCACGGGAAGATATGATCCGGTATCATGTCACTCCTGCTGCTAGTCTATGGCCGTCGCTGGATGAGGAATCCGACTGTGTATGCATTTTATCTACATCTTCTTTAGCTGGGACGGAATAGTTTGCTTCTTTTGTCCAAGTTTCCTAATCGTCGTATGCATAATAGAGGCATTTTATTGTATTTTCTCTGTTATGGTGTGCTGAAAATCAGTGCTCGGGTACCCTCTCCCATTTACACGTTAACTTTCTAACAATCTGTCAGCACAGCCTGTTTGTCTTGGGATACTGTATCCTAAAGTGTGTAATCTGGGACTATGCACTATGACCTTTTCTGACATTGTTTCTTATAAACAACTCCTATAAACCTCGCCCAATGACCCTCCTTTCTCCCACCCTCCCCACTCACCGATGTAGCGTCCCCTGGCTTCGTCCCCGAGCCCCTCTCCCGACCCCCTGAGTGTTTTCACCCCGTTCTGGGCCCGCCCTGACCACGGCGAGACGCTCCCTGCCCCAGTCACCATCACCTATGTCGACTATTACCCTGTCCCAAGTGACGACGACAGTGACTACTGGGTCTATGAGGATGAGGACGACGACAGTTTTGTGGAGGATATTCACCCCGTGAGGAAGGCGCTGAGGAGAGTGGCTGCCTTCTTTAGGAGAGTATTCTCGTAGATTCCTCATCCAGTGTGTGTGTGTGGTGTGGTGTGATGTGTGTGTGTGTGTGTGCGTGCTTGCGTGTGAGTTAGTGTGTGTGCATGTGGCAGTTAATATGTAGGTGTGTGAACATGTTTATGAAGTTTGATCGGATGTAGACGTGTATGTGTGCGAGAGTGCTTGATGTATGATAATGTGTGAATGTGAAAGAATGCGCTCTTTATGTTTGAAAAGAGAGAGAGAGAGAGAGAGAGAGAGAGAGAGAGAGAGAGAGAGAGAGAGAGAGAGAGAGAGAGAGAGAGAGAGAGAGAGAGAGAGAGAGAGAGAGAGAGAGAGAGAGAGAGAGAGAGAGAGAGAGAGAGAGAGAGAGCGGGTGATATTCTTCTGTATCTGTTATGTACGTGTGATTTGCATGCCTGTTCTGATGTGCATGTTTTCAGGTTGGCTGACACGTTTGGCTGCCCGTATAATCCCCTATTATCCCATTTGCCTCTCTTTGGTCTGTTTTGGCTACATTTTTGGGCTTTGTTTTGGACACACCCTTTCGATCAAGCATCTTTTGGCATACCCTTTGGCTGACATTTCTTAGTTTATTTCTCTTCTAATGAGAGGACCATTCTTCCCTTTTGGCCCCGATTCGGATACTTTCTTTAAGCACATGCCATTCTATTTCTTGATATATAATAAATATGAATGAATGGTATACACATGAGTCTGTTTTCCTTCCTTCTTTGGATCTACTAAGAACTAGGGGACAGTAACACGGCAGGAGAGGCAATTGAACCAAGCCTGTTTTATCGTTATACAACTTCAAGTTGCTATAAGAGTAAACTAATTAACAAATGAAGATATTGAGTGGTCGTTTGCTCTATCCCGCTGTGTTGCTGTCTTCTAGCCGAGTGTTTAACAAGTTCTCTGTGATGGAAATGACGGAGTCTATAGTCGTGTGCAGCTGTAGCTACAAACCTGATGTCGGAAGTCTAGATATTTTACGATGGCTTCACGTACTTTAAGTTACATGCACAAGTGAATGATCGGGAGTGGTCTCCCTTCACTCTTTGTGTCTGTTTAAGCGTCACCTTGTCTTTAGTGAGTGAGTCGGATTTTACGCCGCTTGTAGCACTATTCCAGCTGTATCACGGCGGGGACACCAGAAATGGGGAATCGAACCCGTCCCTTCCGCAGGATGAACGAACGCTTTGACCACAAGGCTACCCTACCACTCCACCTCGTCTTTAGATATTTGTACATATTCTAAGACTGAAAGAGGGGTTGTGCTCCTCGTCTAGTGGTCATTTTCAACCCAGGTAATAGACGTATACTTTCGGGTCTTGTATGATGTTGGGACATTT